TCAGTGAACAACGGCTCTGTGTAGTTAATGCTGCTCAATGTGAAAGCACGCAGGTGATGGAGATTTACCGCTGATTACAGAACCGGCTTTACTGATAAGAGGCGCGTTAAATATCGCATGCGATTAATCGTGCAGCCCTAGTTTGTATAGATACTTTTTTAGGTTTTATTTTTATTTGATCATTTTTTACTGGTGGCGCTATAAATTAGATAAATTTAGAAATGCATAAACAACAACTAAATTTTTTTTTTTTTTATCATATAGTTTTTTGTATGGAATGTGATCTGTAGTGTTAGTGTGCAGTAAACGTTATAACTCTTATGTAAGTTATTTGTAGACTTATTTTATTAATGAATTTTGTTTTGGTGTGTGCTATAAATTATAACTTATGTGTAGTCTTATTTTATTTTAATATGCAATAAGTTATAACTTATTTATATTCTTATGTAACTTATTTTTGGTCTAATTTTATTTTTTAATTGTATTTAATTTATTTCAGTGTGTAAGTTATAAATTATAGACTTATTTGTAGTCTTATGTTATATTTTATTGTGTGAAAAGTTATAACTTATTATGTAATCTTATTTTACTATTTTATTTCATTTGGTATTTTAATTCTTGTATTGTGTAATAAGTTATCATTTATTGTCTTATTTCATTTTACTTTAGTATGCAATGTTATGCAAATGCAAAATTATAACTTAACCTAATTATAACTTTGTTGTCTTATTTTACTATTTTATTTAATTGATCTTATTATATTGAAATGTTTGTTATAATTTGAAAGCCTTATATAACTTAATTGTAGTCTTATTTTATTATTTTACTTTTTTTTTTCATTTAGTTATTTTACTGTGTGATAAAACTAAAGTCCTATTGAAGGGCTGCGTGTTCTTACATTTTTCATAATGTAACATGATTTGTGTTTTATATAATTTTTTTGTTTTACAGCTGCAAAGTACGATCAGAGAGCACAGGGATGGTGGCAATGCTGGGGGTGTTTTCAGCAGATACAACATCCTGAAGGTGAGTATGAGTATTTACATTAATACTAGACATCTTTGATTAGTTAAGAGTTTGAATGTCTGTTGATCCTGTGTGCGCTGATGTCAGAACTTTGTTCATTGTTGGTACAGATTCAAAAGGTGGTGAACAAGAAGCTGAGGGAGCGTTACGCACACAGACAGAAGGAGATCACAGACGAGAACCACAACCATCACAACGAGCGCATGCTCTTTCACGGTACTGTCACGAGATGAATGACCTGTCAGAAGTGCTATTTGGGAAAGTTTAAGCTACAAAAGAACCTTTTTCCCCCGTTTCTGACTCAAAGGCTTCTTTCAAAGAATGTTATTCCAGTTTCCCGCTTTTTTACCTAAGGATGATCAGTTTCCTTTTTCTCTTAATCTACAGGGTCACCGTTCATCAACGCCATCATTCATAAAGGGTTTGATGAGAGGCACGCTTACATAGGGGGGATGTTTGGAGCAGGGATTTACTTTGCAGAGAACTCCTCTAAAAGCAACCAGTATGTGTACGGCATTGGAGGAGGGACAGGCTGCCCCACACATAAAGACCGCTCCTGTTACATCTGTCACCGGTATATACACATCTGTTTCTTCCTCTTGAAGATAATTACAAGAGATCCTAGACTAAGCTCTGATATGAATCTGATGGGTTGCTTATGAATGAAATACTGGAGCACTTACCCTACATGACCAGCTGATGGTGCTGTGTATAATATAAACCAGTGCTTCTCAACTAGTTCAGATTTAGGACCCGGATGTAACACTGGACATGAAATTGACCCAAAACTACTCAAAAGTATAAAATTAAATGCCTTAAAATTAATGAAACTCATTAATATTTATTACAACTCTTAAATATTATTGCATTACAAATTATTCTGAAACTGTCCATGGATCCTGTGTACTTTTATGTAATAATTTATTGACACAAACATAAAACTGTACTTAAGTTTTGATCCTATTAAGTCAAATTAATACGTATTAGTATTTAATATATATTTTATTAATTGTTTTTGTTATTATAAATTATTATATTTTAAATTATACTGTGATTTTTTTAATTAAAATGTAATGATATAATTTTATTTATTGCAAATGTAATTGTGCTCTGTAATTGTGTATAAGTTATACATTAATTTATAAATATAAATTATATTGTATTATATATGTGTGTGAGTGCGTGTGTTTATTTGTCATTTGTGTGTGTATCATAAAATATAAATTATATATAATGTAAAATACAATAGTAATTTAGTAATTAAAATAAAATGTTTTGTGTGTGTGTGTGTGTGGAGAGAAAATAATGAAATATAATTATATTTGTTATTTTATATATTTTATTTTTCATAATTTCATTCAAATATAATGTTATCTTATTATTTATTGCAAATTGTGCTGTTTGCAGGCAGATGCTGTTTTGCCGGGTGACTCTGGGTAAATCCTTCTTGCAGTTCAGTGCCATGAAGATGGCCCACGCTCCTCCAGGGCATCATTCCGTCATCGGCCGTCCCAGCGTCAACGGGTTAGCCTACGCCGAATATGTCATCTACCGAGGGGAACAGGTGAGAGAGCTCAGATATTTAACAATGGCAAAAACAAACACATTTTTTTCAGGTAGTAGATATTTGGTTCATTTCCAACTCTGTGTTTTTGCAGGCCTTCCCAGAGTACCTCATCATATACCAGATCATCAAGCCAGACAGCACACCTCCATCCCCGGCAGAAGCAGAGCAGAAGTCCTAGTCCACACGGGCGGCCCTGCGAAACGCTCAGACTGTTACCCAAACATCTCACACACATCCACAGACGCCTCCTCACATGATAGGAATCGCATCCGCTCACCCATAAACCTCTGCGCTGCCTCTTTAATTTGCAGTTAGGCTCCATTTATGTCCCTGTGAGTGTTTACAAGAAAGAGTTGCCTTGGCTGGCCGTGTCCTGGCCTTCCTTTTCAGGTCAAGGGTCAGGATATCGGCCATAATGCTGTTTCAGGGCTAAACGAAAGGACTCGCCTGCTCCGTGAAAGACAACAAGTGACCTCTTCCCCATCATTCTATTCAATTTAACACTGTTCAAGCATTAACTTCCTTTCTTTGAAATGGTTTTACTATTACTGTGATTAATTACCTTTCTGTTGTATTTTCATCTGTTTGATTCACAATAATGGACCACGTCTCAAAGGGACCTGACATTTCAGCAATCCTCCTTTCCATTATTGAAGTTAACTGAAGACCCTGAAAATCTCATTGTTGTGGTTTTAATTTTCTTTATGCATTATTAAAAAAAAGCCATCAAAAAGAATGTTGATGCAGGAATCAGAACTATTCAAAAGACCTTTGACCACAAAATAGCAAAAATTGTATGCTTTTATTCCTTTTTTTTTTTTTACATATCTTTGCACAGGAATACTGGTCAGAATGTCCCATTCCATTGCCATAGCCCAAAATGCATCTTTTAAAGAATTTGCACTTTTAAGCATGTCTTAAGTTTAATTTTAAAAAGACATAGGTTAAAAAAAATGTCCAGTAATGTACAGGTTGTGTAATGGACAATGCCTTTGTATAGCTTTTAATGTTGTTTACCGATGCAGAGTGGGTTTTATTAGTACTGTAAAGGAAGTGGGAATCTTGTTTTCAGATCTTTCCTTCTATATTTTTGGACGACCAAATGACTCCGCTTTGGAAGTCGCTGCTTTTGCTTTCGATATGTTTTAGATCACAACCACAAGAATTCCTCAGTCTTGTTCATTCCAGTCCTGTTTCTCTGGCGTCAGAGAAACGCCTCTTTTACGAGGGTTTCCGTAACGCTTTTCCTGTTACACACTACTGATATCAGAGGCTCGGCTGACTCGCATTCATATTACAGAATGAAATGAAGAACGTGGCTCTACCTCTGAAAGTCTCATGGTTTGGTTGCTTTGCTCAGGTGTAGTTTGTGGTTCTAGACTTGTGTACTGGAGGTCATCTGCCTTACTCCAGGATTCTGTGTGTTCAAACCAGAGAGGAAGAGAGCAGACCTTTCTTCTTCTCTTAGTAGTATGAGCACAGACATGTCCACTGCTCCCCCCAAGCCAATATTTGGGAGACCAACTCCTGAACTATTTCTCAATTCTTTGAGCTGTATTTTTACTTCATTTCCATGTTCCTGTGAACTCTAATCAGAAACGGCTTGTCTACCATAAGCCATCTTCGGACTAATCAAACACTCCTCAATCATGTAAAAAGGTCTTAATAAAGTACGTCATTAATACTGTCTGCTGTCTTTTCTCACACTTTCTGAACTCTTACTCCGTTTCATTGGTTTTTTTTAATTAAAAAAAAATGTATCATTTAAATATATCAGATATAATTTTTTTAAATGCTTGTTTAAAAAATTATAAAATAAAATAAAAATGTGAAAAATAAAAACACTAAAACTGTTTATTTTCATGTGTGTGTGTGTGTGATATGCTTAATTTAAGTAAGTCTGCTGTACTTAATTGTAAAATTACATCGTCATCATAATAATAATAACATCCACGTAGTTTACTGAACCCCTGTAAAGTTTAAGATTTAAGTAAAATGAAAAACCTGGAACTATCAGGTAAAAAAAAAACCTTCAATCCTAGAAGGCCTAAACGTTTTTCAGAGCGCTGCGTATTACTTTTAATTCACATTAGGCTACATTAAACATAATTTAAAGGCTTCACGACTATGATGTAATTATGTACTAAATATGTAAGAAAAAATGCTTTTAATATTACCGCAAATAGTCAACAATGGTCCATAAGCAGTGACCCATATTGTGTGCCTTGTAGCTATGTAACATTTCAGCTTCTAATTCAGCATAATTTTAAAACATTTAATGAAAATATATGTAAATTAATTGCTTTCAACGTATTGCAGTTTTGCTGCAGCGTGTCACTGAGGGTTATGTGGATTCTGGTCAAGGAAGCCGCTGTTATTTCAATGTTTTTCAGCGAACTTCTCGGGAAATGAGTGGGAAGGATTGTTTGTTTCCATGAGTCAGAATTGACGGTGAAATCAGAACACACGCTAGGAGGCGCTGTGGCTCTTCAAAAACAAATATGATTCATCATCTGTAGCTTTTTTTCGTCTATACTACAAGTAATCACGCCACACATTCATTAAAGAACACAGTTTATATTTAATGACAATCGTGAGATAAATAAAATGTACATATAACACAACAGAACAGGGTAGAGTTAAAAAAATCGTAACCCTCTGTATGATATTGCCATTAGTCGTCAGACAATAACATTTCACAAGTACAGTAAAAAGTATTGCATTCATCTCATCAGTGTTTGACAGACAAACCACTTAACATGCCAAAAAAGAGTGGGAAGCACTGCCCGGTTACAACTTCAATTCCGGTGAGGTGCAAAACAAACCTCAAATCAATTTTACATCACTTAAAAGTGCTATAAAAGGCACCCACAATCTCATAAAAAAAGTAGTAGGTCCCCACACACATTAACAAACCAGCTGCTATATGGACTCTTCAAGGCATGTTTCCCTCACAGAGCTTTTCAAAGGGGAATATTAAAAACAAAACAAATGGAAAGTGGCTTCCCAATCGTCCCATTCCTAACTTCCAGTGTAAAAGGGTTCAGTGTACAACCCAGATTTATCCTACACTATTTGTTAAATAGTCTATTAATGAGAACATTCCGTGCGGACGTCATAGTTGGTAAGGCATACAGCAGAAATAATTCATAAGATCTCCTCAGTACAAACTACCAAAGAAAACCAAACGTTTCAAATCCTTTTCACACAATATATACATTTCAAAATACAAAAAAAACAGACCATACAGTGCTTTGGTGGTGATTGGGAGGAAGGAGAATCAAGTTATTGCTCTGATCTGTGACAGGAACGGATCTGTATGGCAGATTGAAATGCTTTGAATGTCTTGTTCGCGATCAGTCTGAAAGAAAGGCGACGCAAGCGTCTTGTGAAAGTGTCTGTGTACCTTCTCTGTACAATGCACTGACAAATGCAAAACCAACTCGATGAAAGACACTTCCTGCCAAAGGTAATGCCACGATCGTCTCTATTAAAGGAATTCAGGAAGGCCAATCGCAAAGTCTTTGGAAGTGAACCACAGGAAATGAAGGAGCTGAACAGTCCCCACAGGATATTACGATTCATTCTTCTGATATTAATGTGTGGTGAAGACCGCAGGGTGAGTTAGATGAGGACGGGTCACCAGTGAAGCCGTAAAAAAAAAAAAAAAGGTGCAGCTCAGCTGGAACGACCACATGATTGTGCCAAGTGAAGAACGTCTGAAAAATTCACCCTTTCTTGAGTTCGTGAGCAGTTTTTTTCAGTCTTGCGCTGTATCAGCAGCTTGGTGAGGTTGTGATGGGACTCTGTAGGTAGGTGAGGCTGCTGGACTGGCTGTGCGTCACTACTGACATGGGGAAGCTGAAGATGAAGGGCGATGTGGGGGTGGAGGAAGACTTGGGCCCGAGAGTGGCGGAAGGGCTGGCGGCCTCTACAGAACAGGAAGTGGCCAGCACCTGAGACTCGAACTGCAGTAGCTGACCCATGAAGCTGAAGTTGGGGGAGATGATACTGCGCCGCTGTTTAACAAACTCGAAGGCCTCTTCCAGGCGCACACGCTTCTTCTTCATCAGGTACGCCAGGCAGATAGTGGCTGACCGTGAGATGCCAGCCTGACAATGCACCAGAACACGACCGTTGGAATCCTTGATGGAGTCTGAGGAAAGAGCAGAGAGTTTAGTTAAGCACAGGTGAAGCCCTACTGTATTTACTGTGAAGCTGACGCCCGCAACATTTTGATGCAGGTTCAGAAGTCACATTTTAATATGCATTTAATAATAATAATATATATTTGTATTATTGCTGTTCTTATTTTTATTATTGTATTTTCTTATTCAATTTTTGTCATCTTCAACTACAAAATGAAAATCATTTTGAGACTCATGCTCTTCATTTTTTCACACAGTTCATTCAGTGAACAATTTGTCGGACTGATTTAAACAGTAACTTGACTTTGCCGATTTTTTACTAACTATTCATTAAACGAACCGAATCATTTGAATCAAATGAAAAAAATTTTCATGACTCGAACAATGCTGGTCGTGGCATAGGTTATGTCTGGTTTTGCATGCAGCTTGCGAAGGGAACTCGGTACAAAACATCTTTCTTGCTATTGTTTATTATCTCATTCAATTTAGAGTGCAAACACCCAATCAATCCGGGTACATATTTTTTTTTACATTTGCACTTGAAATTTAGTAGAGTCCCCTCTGAAAATGGTGCAGGAAACACGACAGGAGATTGCAAAACAGAGAAAACTAGACGGAAAGTATATAAGTTGACCAAATTACTACTTAAACTATTACCTTACAGAGAAAATACTTAAGTGTTCTCATTTTCTATTGACCTTGGATGGCCTGATTTAATTATCTTCCATGCCTCACTAGCGTCAAAAAGCCCATCCAATCAAACAAGAGGCTGACTGATTGACAAGCAAAACAACCGATCGTAGTTTAATATAATAACTAATCATTTTTAAAAAGATACAAATTAAATGTACAAACAAACAAATCTAAAATAAAACTTAATACAAAAAAAGTAATAACATTTTTTTTTCAAGACTATAATATCCCTGTTGCCAGTTTAACAGTTTGCTATGTACAATGAGCTGTGATTTGTACGTATTATTACCACTCAAAACGACCAATAATAAGGACAATGCATTTCTAGAAATACACACAGAACTGGAAATTACACATTCACCCAAAGCTGACAGCCACAGTTGGACAACAAACACTCAACACCCAGGCAAAATGTTCTGGGGTGGATTTCACACCATTCACCACACAGGCACCAGCTGCCATTACTAACGAGCTGCTAATTAACAAAAAAGTGGCATGTCCATAGTACAAAGGGAGAGGAAGCACATATATCCAACCATTACTCAGATTTCTTTTTCCTGTGCACTTTACTGTCTGCGTATACGCCTTTGCACAGCCATATGCACCCAGATCTGAGGTAACTCCAGTATCAAGGCACCCCTGAATGGAGGATGAGTCAGACTCTGGTCCCTAAGCTCTGCACTCTGACGCATACATTCAAGAACATGCACACACACACACACACACCTAGAATGGTGCGATCAAATGCGGTGAACCTACTTGGGGACCTTGCTTTAGTGCAGAGGATGCTGAGCTGAAATTGGATATACAGGATTCCCCCCCACCCCCTCGCTCAGTCACGGAAACCCTTTTATGAGGAAGACCCACCCATACCACAGAATTCATCATGTATTTTGCACCTATGACAATCTCACTTCAATTCTCATCATCGCATTTATCAAAGAACTCTTTACGTCAAAACACATTCAAACATATTCTGACCAAGATGTTGAAGCTGTTGAAACGGATGCGAGACTAAAAAGGAGGATGTAATTCTTGTAAAAGCTCTGCAATGCAGATCATCGTTTTAGCTGCTGATGAATTGCACATAATTTGCAGTTGAAAGGAGCCATAACAACCAAGACTAATGTACACCTACCCTAACCATCCAAACCCCAATTTACAAAATCAAACAAATCTATATATAATAATAATAAAAAAAAAAATGTATTATATATATATAATAATTTAATATAATAATGACCATACCTATAAATTCAATGGCTTCGATGAACCAAGAGCTGATGTCCTCCTTATGGTTGTCTTCCACCGGGATACACTTATACTGGTAATCCCCTTCAAAATGGTTCGGACAATTTGAAGATACATTCAATAGAGCAGAAATGCCCATACGATCTAGCATGTCCTTTTTAGATGCATGGAGGGCACTGCCAAGAAATAAAAAGGGGAGGATTTCCACAGGGCCACCCTGTAATAAAAAAAGTGACAAAAAATTAGAATAATGAATATTAAATACATGTAAATAATAATAATAAATGTATTTATTAATTAAAAGATAAATGGTTTTATTCATTTGTCGTTATATTCATGAAATCACAGGTCTCTATCAATAAATTATCAAAAGCATTGCAGCAGACTACAGCATCAAACCACTTACACCTCTGTTTGCTATAAAAAGGTCATGCTAATAACATCCAGTTTATTTATTCTGGAAATGCATATTGATTTGGCCCACTGTTATGTCATCGGTGGCCTGCTTAACAAGCTGTAGAGACAGGAAATGATCGATGTGGGAATCAACATTGAAGCATTCTGGAGTGTCTGACACAATACACCCCCTATCACAGAGGAAGGCCGGACGAACGCACTCTAAAGCACTGCCAAATCAGCCGGAAAGAGCAGCGGATGGACAGCAGTCAACAGGACGTTTAATGTTACACAATGCTGCCCATTAGCTGACCTCAAAGTATCCACTGCTGCTAATGTAGTTACCTGGTCATGCTGTGGAGTTCTGCAGGAGATGCAGCTGCTCTCCACACTCGACTGAGGGCTGGATACTGCCAGTGTTTTGGTTTTCAAACAGTAATCGGGATACTGTGTGGAAAATCTGTCGTAGCCTCCTAGAAAGTGAAAAAAAAAAATATATATATTCGATACATTTGCTCAAACTGTCTCCTGCTTAAAGAAAGCTGGTTAGATGGGCTGTTGGCTGTTTACAGGGGTTTTTAGAACCAGCAATCTAAGATCAGGAAAATGAATTTAATTTCCCCTAATTTATACTTGAATGGAATGATTTCATTGTTTTATTGCGGTCGCACTCTTTTCAGACAAGCCATACATTTATGACATTTTGAATACATTTAACACAATGTAAAAGGCCTACTAAATAATAAAATGCATGAATCTCTATAGAAGAAATGTGAAGCATATTAAATTGTTGGTCTATAAAATAACTCTAAAATTAGAAACAGATGAAAATTATTGTCATGATCCAGGTTTCTTCAGAACATTGGGGCTAGTTTCTAATTGGTCATACTAGCTCAAGGTGGTCAAGTTGGAACATGTTAACTGGTCACGCAGCGAATAACCAGCCTGGACAAGCTTAGACCAGTTAGAGTGTTCCAAAAAAACAGCAACTATCTTAGGCCTAAACTGGACTGTCCAGCAGAGAAAATGCTGCATTAAAATGCATTATCTTAGAGCTGACCACAATGAAAACAGATATTTTATCAGAACACGGCAGCATTCTTTCAGATAGTAAGCTACAGTTGCGTTAAGAAATACAAAAGCGCAATAGATTTTTGTGTAGATTTGAATTACCTTTTAGCAGATAGACTTCTGTTCTAAACGTATCCCTACACAAAGCGTTATGTACCAGGGTGATTGTGCTGTCGTCTTTCATAGTGTTTGTATCGGAGGTCCGCTCATCGTACAAGATCACGGCGGAGTACAGCCCTGATTTCAGACGGGCTCTCGCTTCATCATCACCGGACAGAATCTGGTCCAAACTCACGGAGCCTTTCGCTCGCCTCCGAACTATCGTGTTACAGCGAATATTTACAGCACCGCGGAGGTGACCGGCGCTGAACGCCAGAAACGACCTGCAGTCCAAAAGCAGACATTTCGCACTGTCGTCCTTCATCAACCTCTTCAAAACGCTGCAATCCATTTCACAAAGTTCGTCCATTGTGACCATTTTCCTCCTCCGACGGGGACTGGTCAAGGTCAAATGGTGGTTTAATAACAACAATACGTCAAATCCAGCGTTGCCAGTGCGCAGTGTAATGTTGTGCTACCCTCCTGAGAGCTTTACTACCACGGGCGCTTCTCTTTCCGTTTTATGAATGGGCTTCAGACGCGCGCTCCATAAAAGGATCGCGACGTCACAACGGAGATGACGTCTGCTACGAGCTCCATTCATTGAGCGCTCTTCATTCATAAGAATCAGCGACGCTCGATGGTGACCGCCTTCCTCGTCTAAACCAGAATTCAGCCATCAGATTTAAGATAGTTTGCTGAAATGAAATTGAAATAATAATAATATAGAGTGCCGATCCTAGACTTATGGGGGCCCTACGCAAAACTGTGTAAAGCACTACATAAGCAATAAATAAATAGCTGACTTATAGTTAAGAGTGCAGTTGATGAAAAGGGAATTCACATAATTCCCTGCGCGAACCATCACATTTGTCACACAAAACTCAACGGTAGTTCGTACTTTTTTTTTCCAGTCAGTTATGTACTCTGAAGTGTTTTAGGTTTTTATTTTTTGTTGTTTAATTAATGCTTACCGCCTAGCGTGGGTACCCTTATGGTGCTTTGTGCCTACTGTAAATACGCTTTATTTATTTTGAATGAATAATGTATGTTTGATGGATTCTACACACATTGTGTGGTTTCCATTGTACCACGTGATGGTAACTATACGCTTTACAGTAACAAATAATTTGTAAGACTTTAAGTACCTTGACATACAATTGTTTTATTATGAAATAATGTGTTAATAGGAGCTGTAAAGTGTAAAGTTACTAAACTGCCATCTTTTGCAATTCATATATACATTATATATATATATATATACAGTGGTGTGAAAAAGTGTTGCCATGTGGATTTTGTTTTCCCTTAATAATAAAAACCTTCATTTAAAAACTGCATGTTGTGTTTACTTGTGTTATCTTTGACTAATATTTAAATTTGTTTGATGATTTGAAACATTAAAGTGTGACAAACATGCAAAAAAATAAGAAATCAGGAAGGGGGCCAACACTTTTTCACGCCACTGTATATTTATATATATATATTGTTTTTTTTTTTTACAATAATGTTCTGACTGTTTTTTGGCTCTGGCCTTCCTATTTGTAAAGAGTTAATTATTGCTCTGATTAATTATCATTTGCCTACAGGGGGGTTGGGAACCTGTCTTATTTGATGGAGGCATGAGGGTGAGTTCTTTATTGACTCATGGGATAAAGAAAGCCCCTAGTTAATTAGTCAGCATGGTTAACAGGAAAGATAGACCTCAAAAGGCTGAGCGTCTTCTGCTGGGGATTTACATATTTCAGATATCATCTGTAAAATGGAATAAACATTTGTTAAACAAAAAAAAACACAACATTTAAAATGATTTTAGCTGAGAGAAAATGGTGTCTTAATGGCACTTGTATTACATTAGTTATACTGAAGTGTGTGTAAAATACAGTAAATTAAAGTTAATTACATTTTTTTTAATTAAAACTTAATTAAAGTTCAATCTAAAACTAATTACCACAAGTTACACATACTTGTGTAAATTGCTTCCATCTCTATGTGTGGAATTGAAGGAATGGCTTTGCATTTTAAAACATGCTTTTTGGTTCCTCCGTATCTTGAATATAAAATATTTGCATGATTTAACACAAGCTCGTTCATGAGACTCCTGTATTTGCATAGTGCTTTGCCATCATTGCTTCAGTTGAGCGCAGATAGGAAGGTTCTCTATCCAGTAGATGTGTTAACGTTATCATATAACACATCTTCCCCTCCCCCTTCTGCTCCTGCAAAGCTGTGAACACACATGGCTTTGCATTCATTTGTGATTGAAAACAATTAATTTACACTGTCTGAAGCAATTGTGGAGTGTTAAAGTATTGTTACTGCTAAGTGATCTTAGTCTAGTCTGTTTATTAATGCGCCAAATGTTTTCTTGATTGTGTCTATTGCATCAGTCATATGTTTCAAATGTCTGTTTTCTCCTCTTCATAGAGAATAATATAGACCATAGAGATTTCAAAATTAGATGATATGTTGAATGCATCCAGCAGGATTTTTAAACAGTGGTCCCGGGAAGTCCAGAAAAAAAAGTATAAATAAAAATAAACAAATATTTTATTAATTATTAATCATTTAAAATATGTATAATTAATAATAAAGATACAATATACTGAATTTGATTTGACATTATTACTGTTTCATTTTACTAAAAATAATTAAGATAGAAAATAGAATAGAAAAGACAAAAAAAGATACATTGTCGCCTTAATGGGTTAGTTCACCCAGAAAATTGAGATTTTGTCCAAACTCACCCTCAAGTTGTTCCAGCCCTGTATGAGTTTGTTTCTTCTGTTGAACACAAAAGAAGATGTTCTGAAGGATGTTGGTAACCAAACAGCTGACGGTAGCCATTGACTTCCATAGTATGGAAAAAAACCCACACTTTGGAAGTCAGTGGCTACCAGCAACTATTTAATTACCAACATTCTTCAAAATGTGTGTGTGTGTGTGTGTGTGTGTGTGTGTTTGTGTGTGTGTGTTCAACAGAAGAAAGAAACTCACACAGGTTTGGACATTCCGTACAGTTTCACTGTATCAGGTTTCCATTTTCAGGTGAACTCCTTAAATATTTTCCAGATTATATTTTACACATATTTCTTTATTTATCATAGTATAAATAGGTCTTTATAAATGAATATTAGTAAGGTGGTCCGTGACGTCAAAAGATTTGAAAACCCCTGCTCTAGACAAAGTATAGGCTTATATTATGAATGTCTCAGAGTAGAAAGAAAGGAGTTGGTGACAATTCTTGGAGTAGCCATGTGGTTTGTTGCCATGGCAGCTCATCAGTGCACATGTGCAGGGCTCTGCACTCTCACCGGGGCTCTAGGTAAATCATAGCTGTCATAGCAACGGAGTGATGGCACATGTAGAAACTGCAAAAGGATGATGTGGTGACTCTGCACAGGGGAGGAGCAGCCACTTTGAGCTGAACGCTTGACGTCAAACTCGCCACCACCTCTGTGATGTGTGTTTATGTGCGAGGATTGATAGCAGGTTGGGAGTGAGGCTGATTTCATGCATGTTTACACAGTAAGGAGAATAGGGTGTTATGTTCTGGGTATTATAGCGATGCTTTTTCACATGTAGTATCATCCGTACTTGTCTGACAAACAGGAAGCAGTTTAGTCTTGGGGTATGGAACATGAGTCACAGGATTCAACATGGTCAATCTTATTATACTGGTCCCATCCAAGAGTCATGTGCTCTTTTCCTCAAAATCATTCAATAAACTTACATACCACTACAAATTCAACCCATTTAGCCATTTCCTGTGTGTACAACAGGAAGATGCTCCCTTGAGAAAGCCTTGTCAGCTCAGAGATTGTCACTTATGCCAGATTCTGGTTGGGGGTCTTTGTACCATATGAGTCAAGTGTAAAATATGTTATCGCTTATAAGGGTAGTTCACCTAAAAACATAATTAACTCACACTTTTGTCATTACAAACCTGTATGACTTTCTGTTTCTGTGAAACTCAAAAGAAGTTATTCTGAAAAATGTCAATGGGGTCCAAATTGTTTGTTTTAAAGTAATTTCTTTTGTGTTTCACTGGAGAAAAGAAGTGATACAGGTTTAGAACAGCATGAAGGTGAGTAAATGGTTTTGAAGAATTTTCTTTTTTGTGTGAACCATCCCTTTAAAAATGTGTTGAAAAATGAATTGTTCTGTTCATGGTTTTCAAGGATGCAAACTGTTCGTGTGGCATGAATTTATGCCAAAATACCAAAGTTTGAAGTCAACAACAATTGATATGGGAAGTGGATTCTTTTACCATTTAAAAATTAACAAGCCTATTTATTTTGCTATCCAACTATGCATTGTTATATGCGTTTTATTTTCATCATTTTGCAGTTAGCAGGATTTTCCCCCCTGGCCATATAGATAATTGTATTATTTGATCTCAATTGTCCATAGCTGTGATTTCAGCAATGACTGTTTTTTTTTTTTTTTTAATTGTCATCATTTTATTTAGTTATTTAGGGACAGTACAACAACAACATGATTCCAGCCAAAGAACTGAAAAATATGAAAAGTCCCCAAAGAGGCATTTTTTTTTTTAACAAACTACCAACCCCACTTACATTTGGTTAACACTTTTAACTAATATAATATATCCACACATACCTATTACATACCTAAGAAAAACACTAAATACCTATTTCAAGGTTATTCCTGACCGTGGAAACATATAGATAGAAGGATTAAGAAAAATATACTAAACATACCAGTTCAATAGTGATATATGACAGTTGCATTTATTAACCCTACACAAACATCTGGATGATTTGACAAGAGGAATAAGCACTACAGAGTAAAAGACTAGTAAAAGACTAGATTGTTTGTTTATTTATTTATTTTTAATAATGTTATCAGTTTTAGTGGGAAAAATAACTGGGTAATTCATTGGAAGATATTCAAACCCAGCAAGCCCACTAAGTTCACTCCTTAATTGTTCATGTTCATTCTTGTTCCTTTCATGATGATTAGCTCTTCAAGCAAATTTTGTGCAATACTTTAGTGTCAACAACATGAACATCCAAGCCTGAACGTTCTTCTGCATTATTAAGCAAATGTGTCATCACCACCACATTGCTATCCCAGAGTATGATTCATCCATTTTGGAGAAAACAGAAAGTTACGACACACGAGTCAAGTGTAAAAACACAGTAAAATATGTGATTGAAATATGACTGAAAGTGAACTGAAAATTGTCTCTTCATTTACTCTCTCTTATTTCGTTCCAAACCTACTTGACTTTCTTTCTGTGGAACACAAAATAAGTTGTTCTATTTTTTATTTTTTTTTGGCCATACAATGAAAGTCCATGGGGTTCAAATTGTTTGTTTTGTTTTAAAATATCTTCTTTTATGTAATACAGGTTTAGAACAGCAAAAAGGTGAGTAAAGTATTTTTTTCAATAAACTATCCCTTTGAAGATATGCTGAAAACATCAGATTCTGATATAATGTGATGTCTCCGGCTCAGGACATGTTAAACTGTGGTTGTT